GCATGCGCAGCACGTGGCTATGACTTGGGAAGTCTCCAGTCTGCCGGCCACCCCCCTGCCGGGCTCTGACACATAGCTGGGATCAACAGCCACGGCTGCGAGGTGGCTCCGCTTCCCTTTCATATCGGGCTCCTGCCGGCGCCGGGCCTGCCCCTCACCTTCCATCATGTTTGTGTCCGGCTCCACTGCAGGTACCCTCTTGGGATGCAACAGCTAGCGGAGAATTTTCGATTTTTGATGGGCGGGGCCGGGAACGTCGTCACCGAGAGGACGGCAGGGTAACAAAACAAAAACAAATAGAACATAACACAATAGAAAGCATAATAGAACAGAGTACACACGAGGTCGTGAGGGGTGAAAGCAGCACCCACACGTCAATTTCTGGCAGAGCAATACGAACTTGGAGCAAACAAGCAGCATGCGGTCCGACTGGGACGTCAAGAAGAGGCTCTGTCGCGGATGAGGACGGCCCGTTCCGCCAAGCTCGGAACTGCCTAAGTAGGTACCTATCTAGGTAGGTATCACCCTATTTATACCGTCCAAGAACTGCCGAGAACAATCTCTATATGTGTATAATTACCTAGTCAAGGCCCGGGATGGCTTTCACGTTGAGAGCAGTAAATGGGCGTCTTTCGGCTGCACAGTCAACCCATAACGCTTGCTCCTCCCCGGGCGGACCACCAAACAACTGCGGACCGGTGACCCGGTTTGCGAAACAGTGGCCCCTTCGGCACCAAACGCCGTCGGTGACTGGAACACCGATCCAAGGTAATCTGAACTCCAGGGCTTCTGGGTCTTGCCTGAGCTTGATTCGCCGCCGGGGGGAGGCCATCGGGGAACACGGAAGGCGATGGACAAAAGGTCGCTTTTTTGCTCGCTACGCCCAAAACCCCATTGATGGCACGAAAAGCGGAATGCGTATTAGGTACGACAAGGAGAATCCACCGCACTCGGTCCACGCGGTCACGGTCCCCGTCGACGGAGCTGGTATCTAAACTAGTTTTACATGGCACATACCCAGGCTCAGGCTCGAGCCTGTGGTTCCCCCAGCATGTGCCCAAGCCTCTTCTTGCACGCCCGATCATACCCCTATGCAGCCGGGCCCAGCACAAACACAACTCACCATCAGCGACAGCCTGCTCTATGTCCCCTTATTTCTTGAGTATCCCCTCCACCAGGCCCGAGCACGCCACCCATTACATCCTCCCCTCCCCTTCCATTCCCTCTCGACCACCTGTCCACACACACACACACACACACCCTCGATCAAGCGGCGGTGCAGTTGCCGCAGCAAATGTGCTCGCACTCGACCTGGTTCCCCTCGATGATCATGACGCAGCGGCACCGGCCCGTGTCGTTGCACTGCTTGCCGCACCAGCAGCAGTTCCAGCACCGGTTCCGCTCCTCGAACGGGCACCGCTCCAGCGGGCACTTTGGCAGCAGCGGCGAGCTCGCCGCCGCCGTCGGGCTGCCTGCGAAGCTGGGCGGCGTCGGGTACGGCAGCGACTGCTGCGTCAGGTTCCTGCACGGCCGCCGGGTCTGGGCTGTGGCTGCTGTTGTGGCTGCTGGAGAGTAGGACGAGGAGGAGGCACGGCCTGTCCTAGTGTCGTCCGTGTGGTGGTGGTGGTGGCCGCCGCTGCTGCTGCTACTGCTGCTGCTGTTACCGCCGCCTCGGGACTTGGGGCCCTTGGGGCCTTTGCTGCGCTTTTCGGCCCGAGGCCCCGCCGGAGAGGACGGCCACTCCGAGGCTGTGGGCACGGGAGGGGCGTCGGCGCAGTAAACGATGTGTGTCCGGACGTGCTCGCACGGGAGCATGTAGTTGATCTGGTAGCACATTTGTCCTTTTTTTTTTTTCCGTGTCCACACCTCCGTAGACTGATTGCTGTCACTGCTTCCCCTTTTTTTCTGTGACTTGATGGCTGCGATATGACGACTCCGGTTCCGGCGCACTAGAATACGCGAGCTTTTTTTTTTCGGTGTGATGATATTTGGCCTGTCTCGCCCTGACGCGCGTATTCAGATTGTTTGCTTTACCGAGAGACTGCACCACCGCCCGCCGTGCTCTCGTGCGCCTTGTGCCACGCCAACGAGCGACGAGCCGGAGACTTGTCACGCCGTGCTAGCCCAGCTGGCAGGTGGTACCGTCGCCGTGCCAGTCCTGGAAAAGGGGGATGTGGCTATCGGGATCGCCCGGTTTGCCTTTCCGAGGCAGCGCTGGGTACAAGCTTGTTCTCGAGGGGCTGGGCGAAGGTGATTCGATAGAAAAGGGGGAATGAAGGGGATGAGGAGCTCAGAACACTTTAGCAGTGGAATCTGGTGTCAACTGTGTACGGATAACCTCTTTTCGGGTTGCTGTCCTCCCTCATGAATATTAAGATGTCACAAAGGATATGGTTCAAGACTTTATATACTCTGACATGGTGACAGCACCGTTGACGTGTTCAGTAATCTAAATCTCTCGATATTGCTGATGAGGATGGGATAAGCGTGTTCGACGCCGCAAGCGATGTCTGGATTCCGGCCCTCGACCCAATAGTGCAGTTTCTGCTCATGCAGGGCCCCATGTGCCCACGATCGCGAGAGCCCTACGACTGGCTCGCGCGGGACAGACATACCCGACCCAATACAGCCTCTTCCTCTCTTTTCTCCCCCCTTCTTGCTTTTCCTCCACCCCGCCAGTTCGTTCGGTGGTGGTGTCTCATCTTCCCGCAGCCACCGAGATCGGCGATTGTGAGATTGCGGTGATGATGCGGGTTCGAAAATGCCCGGCCATCGAACAAAGGCGTCCTTTGTTGCCTTTTGCCGAGAACGATGTGTCTAAAACCTGGGAAAGAAGACCTTCCCATCCTCCTTCTGGGTCACGGTGGCGGTCGCCATGCCCATGCCAGGCGAATTCCGTGTGTTCCATTTCCTCCTCAGTAAGCCTGCCAAGCGCCGCGGGCGTGTGTGTGGTTCCCAGGGGACAGGGGAATGCTCGAAGCGAGCGGGCTGGAGGAGCTGGTGTGGTGATACGAAGGGTCGTTGGGTTACTGGCGCTGGTTTGAGATGTGCGTGTGCGTGTGCGTGTGTGGCGGCACCTGCTCTTTCACTCATTTCTTGGGCTAGCCTTCGGCGACTGTAAGAAGTGGTGGTGATGGTGATAGGCTCGGGTCGGCTCGATCGGTGGGCTGGCCCCTAAAATCCGCCGCGAGGTCTGCGTATGTGATGCAGGTTTCCGGGATCTTGCGGTCGGCAAAAAGTACCAGTGCGCACTCTCCCTCGCTCCTTGAGGTCCATCGTGTTCCGGCAGAGTGGTAAGGCTTGCGAACACGACCCGCCAAGGTGGGAAAAAAAGCCTCTGCAGGACAGGGAGCATATGCAAGAAGCCGTTTTCCTGACTGCACATCCCATTTACACTGCCACATGTCTGCGCTTTCCCATATCCCGCCCCTCTGGTAATCGGGTTCGCAAGCCGGCCGACCCGTAATCCCTGGCCAGCTGAGCGAGATGCCATGGTGCCGAATCTGGTGTGACCACACCAACCTGAAGACATTACCTCACGGCTCCCGATCCTCGAGAAAGCGGCGGGTACTAGGGAGGTAGGTAGGAATGTATGGATGGACAGTGCCAGGCCTGCTCTCGGGCCGAGGTGTGGCGTCCAGTTTTGCTGGCAAATATTGGATAAATCTCGCACAAACTCCGTCTCCTTTCCCCCTCCTTCTCGCCTCCCAGCGCCATCTGGCCCGACGCGTATTTCAGGTCCGCCCGAAAGATGCACCGAAGGGCTTGCCTAGCTATTAGCGATGGCAGAAGTTACGTTCGTCATGAGAAGCAGAGAGGAAGAGAAGAAACCGAAAAGCAAAAAAAGAAGAAAGCAAATCCCACGGAAAGGAAACCAATCACAAGCCGCATCGGCTGAGGCTGAAGACAGCCTTCATCTCCCAACACCCTCGATCGATCCCCGCGTGCCCATGCCCACCACCTACCACCCACCACCACCGTCGTCGCGTCGTACAAAGTGACGAGGCGAGCGCCGAGACCCGCAAAGATCGCCGGCACCCACGGATGAGCAGAAGAAGCTAGAAGAAAAGAGAGCAATCATAATGTCCGCATCCGGGGCAACACGTCGTACCGCCTCGAGGTAGACTTCCCCTTTTGGTAACTCCGGGCTGTCTGTCTGGTGCTGCTGTTTGGGGAGGAAATTTTCAGCGGCGGCGAGATGACGACGACGACGACGCCGTCGATGCGTCACCGCCATCACCCGCAGAAGGGTCCCGCGTGCAGTTGTGGCAGCAGGTGTGGTAGCAAAAGGTATCGGGGCTCCTGCGCTTGGGGTGGCGGCACCAGCGGAAGCGGTTGCCGCCGCGGCCGCAGGCGCAGCACGTCCAGCGCCCGCCCAGGTCCTCGAGCCGGCACGCGCCCGACGCGCACTCGGGGCTGGCCAGGCACCCGCCCGACGCGCATGGGTCCGAGTAGTCGAGCACCGGCTGCGCCGGGTCGAAGCACAGCCTCTGGCACGGCTGGCGCTGCTGCTGCTGGTGGTTGCTGGACGAATCCCCTATCACCGCCGTCTGTGCTGTATGGGAGACATCCGTCGCGTCCTGGCAGTACGCATACGACACGACCATGTCGACGGGCCGCGTGCAGGGGACCAGGTGGTGGTGGTGTAGGTAGTAGTAGGTGCACATGATGGGCGGGCTGGGTGCAGAGGTGGCTGGGGGGAGAGGCACACCGGTGTGGTGTTGGGGGTCGGGTGCGGCTGGACTGAGGCGTCCTCAGGAGGAGGTCCAAGAGGCCCAGGGGAGGCAGAGGTCTGGAATGGGCTGTAGACGCCACTCTCTCCCAGCCTCTTGGTTGGGCTTCCGATGACCTCCCTCGTGGTGATGTACCGTGGCTAGACTCGCCGTGGCACAGCAGTGGTGTGGTGGTGATGCTGTCTTTAATGGCTAGAAAGAGAGAGAGAGAGCTGAAAACGCCACCCGCTCTCTACCCGGAAGCGAATAGTGTGCCTGGCGTGGCAGGTCAATATGGTGCTGCCGCTAGCAAGGACACAAGCCTAAGGCAGGATCGGCAGGGGGCTCAGGGGAGGCGGCTCGAGGATGGCTGGTAACACTGCGTCTGGGCAGGGCCAGGTCTTGAGCTCTTAAGCCGCAGGCTCTCGAGGAGAGGCGGCCCGACGGACTGGGTTTGACAGCCAGCCAACGGCGATCTTGCAGCCAGCTCTGTGCCTCAACCCTGTAGGCCGTGGCCGGTGACGGCGGATGGGCGCGCAAGGCCTCGGTCACGGGATGGGGGAAGACGTGAAAGAGACGAGAATCTCTGACAAGCTATATCGTTATAATGCGATAATGCTGACTCCTCCGTCTCCTGTAAAAGTCAGGAGATGTGAATATGTGAGAAGCTGTTCCGTGGGGGAGGCACTTCTGGAGTAACTTTGGCGGGGCGTTTATCTGTTGGCAGACGATATGAATGAGCGGGAAAGGGGGTGGTCAAGATAAGGAACAGTAAGGACTAGAGGAAGTGTGCAGACACTCCCCTATTGAGGCTGGGCCTGGGTGGGGTTGGCAATTGGAACACTCTGGAAGGGATGTTGGATCGCGTGAGACCTCGTTGATGGCCTTCGATGCCTTTGTCCTATCATCTAGTGCCAGATGAAGTCCCCATGGCTTGGTACTTATACAATTCCGAGTAGACAGAATCGCCATCGGGTAGACGGTGAGCAGCGTAGCAGCCAGAGAGCCACCAGCACCACTGCTTGGCCATCGAGCTGCCCATCCTACTCCGTCCGAGCAGATGTGGTAGCGGCATTGTGTGTGGGTGGTGGTGGTGGTGGTGGTGGTGGTGACGTTGGGTTCAAGGCCCCTCACGTCCTCGCGTAAAGCCATGGGGATACACCGAAGTGATTCTCCAGGGAATAAGGCAGATCACGGTTATCCGGAGAGCGTTGACTCTCCTGATACCCCGCTAGCACGCGCCTCATTTTTCTTTCTCACCCCTAGATAAGGAAGGGGGCAACCCAAACGCGGGCGCCGGGAGGTCTTTGCATTGTGATTCCCTCTTTTGTGTCCGTGTCAGCACGGATGAGGCGGTTTGCGCGCCGCGTATCGTTTGCCTCTCTCGGACGAGGCCAGGAGCGAAGAGGGCTCGTCCCACGCATGCCTACCACGCATCCATCAGCCATGGTACAACACTCGATAGCCGGGCGCCCACACTCGACAAGGGCTGCAGGGCTAGAAGCCAGCCCAAGCGTGGGTGCGGCGGCGGCGCCCTCTTCGCCATCGGCACGTGGCGCCCATGTGGACATGAGCGTTTTTCTTTGCTGTCGTTTCGTGTCTCCCTCCGTCAGCTCCTCCTCCTCCCACGCTTCCGCGCCCTGATATTTTCTGATTACCTCGCCCATCTTCCGAGCCCCCTTGTGCGTGTCTGGGGCTGCCCGTGCTGAGACACGGAGACAGCTTTGTGGGCAGGTTGAACAAGGCGAGGCTCATACAGCCGCTCCCCCATCCATATATGCCATCCATCACATAGCCCATCAGAGTGCGTGGCTCGCCGCCGCCGGGACTTGGGGAGCCACGAAGCGTGGCAGTAGCGTGTCTTTTTTCCCGCTCTGCTCCGTGTCAAGTTCCACCAACGACCGTTTCTGGCTACTACATCGTCGTCCGACCGCCGTTGCTTTTTATTTCTTCTGTTTACAGTATTTGGGGATCCCACCCGCGGTCCATCACCCGACAGCCACCAGGAAAGGGAGATGCGCGCTTGCCGACCATGCCCGGTGTGATGATACACAAGGAACGCGGCCCAAGATCTAGCCTTCAATCCTGAGCGCAGCTGCCGCAAACAGTCATCACAGGCTCGCTGTAGCGCTACCATGGACACTCTTCGCCATTGTCTGGTCCCGAACAGGTCCCAAGACTCCGGGGGCGTTTGCGCGTCTTGGAACCGTGGATGTGACTGGCACTTATCATGGCATTGTATTGTGCCACGTAGCACAGAGCGGTAGAAAGAAGGAGCGGGAACAAGAGAGCATGCTATCCCGGCCCATATCTCAGGCCCTATGTCAGTCTTGATCACCCGTAGCGTCGTCCTGCCCCTGCACGTGGAGATTGAAGCCATCGTCAGCGTCTGGCTTGCATATGGCAGCCATGGCGGCCACACAGCAAATGCGTGTTGCCCCATTTTGCGCATTACGGAGACCGGGTCAAGCAAGCGAGAACCACACTGCCATGCCTATAACCAGTGACTTCCCCGGCCTCGCTCCCGGGCACGGAGGGGGGATATTCCGCCCCGCCTCGCTTCTTGCGGCTGGTTGTTTTCGCCCCTGAAGGTCTTGAAGACAAAACCCCGAGATCCGCGCCCGCTCTCCGTTGAAGAAGCACAGAGACATGAAGAGGCTCAGCAAGGAAGGCCCTCCCCCACATTGCGCGGCCGGCATCAATTATTGACAAAAGTCAGGCCACTTCGATCCTGGGAGGGAGCCATCTGGGCCCAGAACCCAGCAGTCGTACAAGAGGAAGTAAGAAGTTCTGTAGGGGCTGGCCATAAGCAACGTCGTCGTTGAGGTTAAGCAACTGCCGCTCGCCGGGGACGAAAGGGGTGTGGCGACACAGTGCAGGACGATAAAAGCCGCGGCGGCAAAGTGTGGTGACTGCTCGCCTCCCGAGGGCCCAGGGGCAAGGTGTCGGCAGGGGCACCCTCGAGCAAAGCCACCGGGCGATCCATTGCCGGATCCGGTCACGTCACAGCCAGGTTTGTCCTGACAGTCACGTAGAGAGAAAGCCACAGCGTGGTGGAAAGGGGGAAGTGTCCATCACGACAGGGGATTTCTGTCCCCCCTGCAGTACCTATATCTTCATATTCGGCGTAAATACGGAGGAGATCAGGGAGGCGAGTTTCAACAACCTATGGCACAGCATTACCAAGGGAAAACATGTTGATGCAGCATGTGAGTAAACCTAGCCTCTATCTAGTAGCTCCCGTGTTGCGCGGGGAACGTGTCTGGATTGCAATGGGGAAATAATCGAGGGCCTGGTGTCATGAGCAACAACATAGCCAAGGCCCTTGAGCGGGGAAGTTAGCCTGGGCAAGAGTGGGACTAATAAAGACGGGGAACGAGGTTTAACCAAGGCCTGACTATGTAAACGGCTCACGCCCCGTTTGGCAGAAATGCTCGCAATGAGTCGTTGCACCACCGGGGGAATCAATCATGGGCTGTTACTTGTGGTGGAGATGGGCAGTGGCTCTCAGAGCAAGGTCTCGATCGGACGACTACCGATCGATGATACTTCTGGGAGGAAGATTAATATTGATTACTGAACGGCGAGCCAGCCCCGGCTGTCTAATGGCGAGGTTGCGGCGATATTGGGCATTGGCGGCGAAAGAAATAAGGAGGAAGTAGTTCTCGCAAAGCTCCTTCGCTGCACATAATTTGACCTCCTCAAAACAATAATTCCCAGTAGGCCGAGAGCGCATGAATTAGTCCGACAGTAAGAATAGAATATGCTTAGTAGCTACAAAGGAAAAGGGTGAGTGGCAATACGCCGGCGAGATAGTGAAGAAAGTTTGGATCAGCCGGAAAGTCATGAAATGACGAAAGTGGCTGGGTCTGGAAACCCAAGGTCAAGCAAAAAAAGGTGAGCCTCCCAATCTAGCTTGCGGCCGTATTCTCGCACGGCCAGTCTTCAGGAGGTTGGCGATGTCGCATTGAACACATGACATTTGAGTGTTCGAGGGCGCGCCTTCCAAGAAAGCGCCCCTGAGCTGCTCCAGCCCGGCCTTCCAGCTTTGCCAACAGGGACAGGGATCCGGGAGGGGGTAGCGGGCTGACTGGCATCAAGAGGTGTGAACTGGCGTACAGGTTTGTAGACGTCAGCGCTGCCGGCCGGATCGCAGTGCGTCCGGACAGGGGGGTCGCGAGGTGGGTGGGAGGTGGCCGCCGTGGATCGTGCTCAAATAAACATCAGCTCTGGCCGGCCGGATCACGCCCCCGTGTCACAGGAAAGAAAAGAAAAACAACGAAAAAAAAAAAAAAACCGAACAAGCCCCGATATTCATGATGGATGTTGATGTTCCAAGGCTTGTGATTGCTACTTTGCCGATGGCTTGTGCCGTGGCTTGCCCCTGAGCGGCGGGCGGCGTCTCAGGGCCCTCAGGTTGGGATTTGTTTCCTGTGTTGCCTATTGCCTGCTTTCCCCGCGTCTCTGTTTCCGAGCGAGTGCCGATCGATTCCAACTTCAAGGCGATGAAAGCTGTAGGAGGCCGCGATCGATTACCGGGGGTGTCAAAGCGTCCAGGAGGTCAGAGTCTTGGCAAAAAAAGAAAAAAGGGGGGG